TTTATCACTCACTCGCGCTGACGGGGGGGCGGAGGGTATTCGATTAACGCAACCACTGCTCCCAAGCCCTGTTGTTGCCATTTTATTATCTGTTAAATAAGGTTAGTTAGACCATGAGTTAGACCCAAGTCTTCCTGACAGTTCACAGTGTGCCGCTGGCCCGATGTAATTCAAATGTACCGCCGCGCGCAGCACAGACACACAGCTGCTGCCCAGCCGCAGCACCGGAAATGAAAAACTGACTATCAGAGATGTAACGTTATCTTTGATAATATTTCGTCTCCTCATTTTTCGTCAACGAAAGTAAAGAGAGATTTTGGCATAGTTTTTATTTAGTTAACTACATTTTCGTCTCGTCACTTTTCGTCAACGATATGGCATGATGATTTCGTTACAGTTATTGTTTACTGCCGTCTGTGCCGTCGTCAAGTTTTCGTCATGGAAAAAAAGGTCGTTGACGAACATATTTCGTCATAGTTTTAGTCAACGAAATTAACACAGACTTGCTCTCTCACACACACACTCTTCCAGGAATACACTTTCTGTACTTCAGTGCTTTCAAGTCAACACAGTTATTTGTTTTACCTTAGAAGATTTGTAAATCAGTAAAAGAGTCAATAAGGAAAGGAAATTCACCTTATATAAAGTCTGCATGTTCATATATTATAAAAAAATAAGGAGAATTATACCTTATACCCCAGTACAGTATTTAATTGTACATTCTGTTATTTTTTTTTAAGCCTTTGAATCTAGTGCATTGTAAAACCTTATATTTATCAAGTTTGTGGAATCAGTAGGTCTCACGAACACATAGAAGTACCTTAATTAGTGAGCATGCCCTCATACAAAGGCTGGTATTTAACATATACTGGTCTTAAAGACCATCAGTTTTTTATGCATCAATGTATCAACCTCCTGGGTTGTAAATCAAATATCCGATTAGATGGACAGAATGGTGGGCTCTTCACTCACCGTGCAGTGCTATGGCCTCCCTGAAGGGCTGCAGGTCTGCCTCCACAGATGAGCCGGTCTCCGCTGGAGAGTTAGCCCGACTCGGGGCCACCATGGCCAGCCGGGTGTTGGTCCTGCTACTCCTGTGCGGTGGTGCTTTGCCGCACAGAAAGCTGATAAGATCCTCCCTGCGGATGGTTCTCCGTCGCTTCTTCACCCAGGCCAGCATGTCCTGCAATCCAATACAAGCGCAATCCGTCCTTAGGCAAGGTTTCATTTTATGATGCAATTTGTATCCCTCTTGAACACGCCTGCTGTGTACACTTAAAATAATCTAAAAGCACTGGTTCTTACATTTCAAACAAATGTGACAGGAAGGGGTAGCATCACAATTTGTCCGGATGCAGGAGAAAAAAGACCCACCTTATTACGGCGCTGGTGGCCTGTCTGGATGCCCCGATCAAAGGTTCTCTGATGGGCCTCCACACTCTCTGAGATGGTAAAAAAATGCAATATAAAAATAATTAGAATTTTTCATTATCATGTGTTGGAACGCCAAGCAGATAATGACACCTTAAATAACATACAGCTTGGAAATATATTTGGCATAGGAACATGGAGACATCTAAATATCATGGGTTATGATGTAGATACTTTTATTTCTATACATTTTTGGGGAAAACATAAGAGGAAAATCACATGACTGACAGCTTTTGAAAGAAACAGCAAATTACTTCTGGAAGTTGCTCACTCCCTAAAGCTAATTCTACCCTCTTCCAGGTTTTGGAAGGTAAACTGCCAAATTGGGAGTCAAGTCCAGTAGAATCTCATTCTTACTACAACAAACCGCCTCCCTTTTACTGGTAATTTCCTTACATTGTTATACCATTTTTTGATTTTTTTTTTTTTAAATAAGGTCTATTTTTCATCTATCCCTACAGTGAACATGACACGCAGACATACCAAAGACCTGCAAGCCCTGTGAGAGACAGATCAATAGAGCGGATAAGAGTGTTTACCACTTGTTGGATGAGCCCGTCAATAAAACATGTCTGCATTTAAAAGTACAATGATAGTCAGCAACAATCTGTATTGATCAAATGAAAGCACACAAACAACTGTAGGTGTAGTAGTTAGCAGACCGATATATCTTGCCCAATAGCACGAGTATGGAGAGATGTGGTTATATAGTTACCTTTGTAGAGGTTGGTGACTGCTGTGGCAGAGTTCTGAAATGGCACCCACAATGACAGGCCCTGCTGATGGCATACTCTGTCTGTGTCGGAAAGGGGAAATATGTTTAGTTTCTATGCATAACACACATGTGAAAGAAAGCATTCTGAATAAATGTGACCTAAAAAAGGACAACAAAACATTTGAGAGGCTTGGTGATTACAGGGTTGAAGTGGAGATCATTTTCATTCGCCATTTTGTCCTGCTTCTAAAATTGCAGGGACATGGTTTGGCATAAAAATAACTGTCAGCCAGCGCTAGATGGCCAGCAGCTTATTTAGCAAGAAAGCACCGACACACCAACTTAACTGCATCATCAGCAGTAAAGTTGCTATGTCAAACATACATGTCAAACACGGATTCACTTAACAAGCTCTGACATAATAGACAGGAATGTAGTATGTTTGATGGTAACTTAACGATAGCATATTGCTCACAAACCAATATTTCCACAGAATACAATCCTCGCCATTTTGTGATTATTACGCGTTGCTAAACAAACTGCTCGATCAGCAGCAAACCGAGCGTTTAAGAACAAGAGTGAATGTAAGTGCCGTTAACTCTATATACTATAATAGCATATTTCAACAGTCAGTCATGTCTGGTGGAACAGATGGTAACACTGACAGTAAACCAGAGACTGTCATCTGGGAATGTCGCGTAGCTACGATTGTTGTTACCATCGCCATTTTGTATCTAGCCCGGCTAACGTTAGCTTTCTTCTGGTGACTAAACTTCAACAAGCCGTCGAATTGCGAAATATATTCATGTTGAGATACTTTAATTATGCCAGTAAAAATGATAGTTGTTTGACAATATAACCAGGTTTCGTAACTATTTTATGTCACTGGCTAACAGCTAGCTAAATTTAGCCTTTGCCAAATCAGCTGTAAACGTTACCCAGTTTTGATGAGTTTTCTAGCAGGCTAGTTAGCATTCTACGTTAGTTCACAGTAACGCGTAATTAGCCAGGATGCTAACAAACAAGCTAAATGCTAACTAGCAATGTTAGCCTAGTTGGATCAACTACAGGCAAAAAGAAAGCGCTGGTGTGCACCTTTGTATAACTGTGCCACGGCGGTGGCGGAGTTCTGGAAGAGATGCCACAGTTTATCCTGGTCGTTGTCGGCCTCCTCCTCGCTCGGCTCCCTCTGTTCCGCTTCGGCCAAACACTGCCGCTCCCATTTTGAGAACCAGTGCTCGGGTCCGTGTTCCTGTATCTCCGAGTCTCCGTCTTCCTTCTTCTCCTCCATTTAATGCACCAAAAACAGGAGTTAGATGCTCCTTTTTATATATTAAACTATTAGTATCGGGCCCTATATGAATAATTATTTGAGTACATTCATGAATGCTGTTTGATTTGTAATAGTTTGCCCCTACAATACAGCGTTGCTCTCTGGCCCCACTACCATCTGTGAAGATAAGCTCAGCTAACTATTTTTCCTGGTAGCCGACGTTGTGATATATACAACGCAGACTATCTTGTTGTGTGCTTTAGCCCGCCCATTATATCATATCTCGACTATGATTGGTCATATGAACACTGCAGGGCGGGCTTGAAAGCTTTATTCAGAATCGTATTGGCTCACGGACACGTCGCTCAAAGCATTGACACAAAAGAACCACAGTGAAAATTCCTCACAAGCTTGCGAGAGAGAGCAAGCTGTGTCGTGAAAAATCTGCAGTTTCAATAAAAACAATGTGATTATTTGTTTTGAAAAGTGCTTTATAAATACTGTTTTTTATCAACTTTATTATTTTATCCTTCTCTTAGCGTATTTTCTTTCACTTTATAATTAATTCTGAACCCACAAGCTGGGGAAAGGACATAGGCCTACATATATTAACCATATCTACTTTTTCCGACAACAGCTAATTGAAGGCCTCTAATATTAGGGGTGACACCTTATTTATACAGTTATATATATACACTATAATATGGGCGACTCACATGAACCCTCTACAAGTCCATATATGACTCATGATAATTTACCTACAAAAACATTTTTGACCTGCTCAAATGGAGAGAAAAATGATAAGGAAAATAATTAAAATGTTATGCACACCAATTTAACAAATAAAAAGGAAATTACATAAACGAGAGGAAGTCAGTGATCATAAAAAGCCTAACTGCGACGGGTATTATGACCTGGTGTAATATTATTTTTCACCACTGCATGGTGCAATTTACTCAAATATGAGAATGCATGTCTATTACAGCAAAGCACCTTCTGGTTACAGCAATGAAGATTTGGATTGCTAAGTATTATGAAAATGATGAACACTGCCTTGCTTATGTGATATTTCATGATAGGCAGTAGGTTGTCCTCCAAAATGGTCACACCCAATGATATACAAGGTTACAAGTAAGAAAAGTGACATTATTGTAAGCCTTTTTTAAATGTGTTTTTTCATCTTTGATTAAATATGTTTTTTTATCTTTGATTTCACTTAATTGGCTTATATTGCGGTATACTTTTGTTGTTGTCGTGTGTGTGTGTGTGTGTGTGTGTGTGTGTGTGTGTGTGTGTGTGTGTGTGTGTGTGTGTGTGTGTGTGTGTGTGTGTGTGTGTGTGTGTGCTATTCAGCTCAAATAAAACTTGGTCCTATGAAAATAAGTGAAAATGGTTATTTGTGAGATTTATTTCAGGGTATTTCTTGTTGATTTCATACATCCCTGATCTAAATTAAAAACGTACAATGGTAATGTAACCTTGCTTTAATGCAACCTTGAGAATCACGAATCAGGTTTAGGAGGAAATTAAAAATGTAAATGAAATAAATGTACAATAAAAGTACATACAAAATAAATGAGGTTACAAAATGTGTAGACGCCACAAAGCAGCAATGGGCTACCATACACTGAATGCAGGGCCCCTGGAGTGGAATGTTGCTAATTGAAATGCTATACCATTAATATACAAATAATGCATTGAAGTAAAAACAAAAAGCACAATAATTTTCTTCGATAAGTCTCCTGTTAATTGATAAAGTCTGGTTTTTATTAGTTATTATAATAGGCAATAAATGCTCCAGTTCGGTAGGAATGTTGTTCTTACACAAATGTCAATATAAAATGTGTAGGAATAACTATTTATTTACAACACCGTTTCATAACAAATGTTTTAAAGTTAAAACAAATCTTAATGTTATTTTTTGTTTAACTATGTTAAAGTATTTTTGTGGAAAAAATAGTACGATAGGAAATTAATTGAGTACACTTAATTAGGCCTACTTATTATTATTGAAATATTGCTTTCTGTTCAAGCCATTGTAAATCACTGATTTGGGCTCCAGTGCAAGTCATAAATATGCTAGGCCCTGAATTGTCATTCTTATAACTTCATTTAATTTTAAATTGTTGTTGTTGCACTAATATGTTGTTCCCCTGTACCAGGTCTCGTCCATTTATAACATGGATGTGAACCTGGCCGGGGATGGGCCATGGTGTTTGGATCTGGATCTCCATGCGGATGTGACATTACAGAGAAGAGCGCGACCGCCATTTTGAGATTTACCTCAGACTCAACACATCACAAACCACGGGAGGAGCGGTTTAGAAGAGAGCCACTCAGGTTAATGTTGTATGACCGGGCACATTCCTCAAAAGAAACAAGAGGGTTAGCATAGAAATGCAACCAGGTGCCGTGTTTTGTTGTGCATTGTGTTAGGTTAAGGGGCGGTTTGCGTGGATTTGGTTTATGTCGGGCCGTGCGGGCAACTCTCGTCTTCGCGAACTTCCAAATCAACACTAGTATTGGAAACTGGTTTGAATGGATAGCTCTTTCCTCCGCTCTTCCCCAGACGAGGGACAATCGGAGGAGCACACGGATTGGGGATATCGCAGATAAAGTTGTTGAATGTGTGTTAATAGCAAATGAACCGTTGTTTTCATTGTTGTTGTACCTATATCACCAGTTCGCTGCCTAGTGTCAGGTAGCTTAGCAATAAACAGGGTATTTGTTCCTCACGGTGCAGGTCGTGCTGTGCGTTGTCCCCACATTTCCCGGGGTAAAGCCGGATTGATTTAGCTAATTTAACGGGCCTCCCCTCCTCGGAGCCCCTGCCCACCAATCCCCGTCAACCCACAGCGACTAGCACCCACCAAAGGCGCCGAGATTGGGCGAATAGCGAGCAAATACGTCCGCGTTTCTCTACCCGCTCCCCCGCCGACCTCCCCTCCTCACTCCCCGGCGCTGACTGCGGACAAGGCCGAGGTCGCGACAGAGCAGGCCCGGCCGCCAAGGCTCGACCTGTCCACCCCAGCTCCGCATCCTACCACACCTCACCAGCAGTCCAGAACCCGGTTCCCCCCAGAGCCGACCCTAGACAAGGTCGACAACAGCATCACCACAACAACAACAGCTGCCAACATGAACCACCACCATCACCACACGCAGCAGCAGCAGCAACAGAAAGCCGGGGAGCAGCAGCTCAGCGAACCGGAGGACATGGAGATGGAAGGTGAGTTATGGTCCATAGAAGGGTGAACGAACACTTTAAACCCTTAATTTAACTGTTGCACGAGAAATGCATGAAGTTGAAATTGTGAACGCAGAGCTCAACTTTACAGTAAACACGAAGGCCCGATGCTAGCTAGGATAGCCAGCTGCATTTTTTGCTGATTGTGCGTCCGTTGCAGCATACTTGTGTGGAGCTGACCTCATTTTGCGTTATAAGCTAAGGGGGCTTGTTTTTCCTCTCCGTATTCTTGCAATATTCACATGCTGGTCGATAACCCATCATTAGCTGTTCAAAAACAGTGTTAAACATAACACACACAAAAAATCAATTTGCATCTTTGGGAATTGTTTTGTTCACGATCGGTCGCTGTGACAAGTTCTCTCCGATGCCGTTTGCCAAATCATCGCAGTTTAGAATCAACATGCAGTCACAGAACTTCAGGCCCGTTGATTGTTGATAACTTAACGTTTAATGTTTGTAAACACCGCAATTAAACCGGAACCATCGCTAGGTAAATTAAATCTTGCTACTTTGACGTATTGTGATTGATTTGGATAGATATCGGCACCTGCGTTTCTCATCTACGTGAACAAAATGTTATTTTCTATGCTAACATATTACTTAAAACATAGCCCGTTAATAACCGTTATGCGTGAAACGTTAAGCCATCTTTTTCTAAATGACTGTGTTAGCATCGTGTCTGATGGCGTTAAATGCGGGCCTGCAAACAAACGAAAGCACATACTGTGTACATTATTATTTCAGTGTGATTCTTAAAATGCTATTTCAGTAAATCTGTCTGGCTTATATGTTTTGACCATAGGCGAATTACGGACATTTGTTTTATTGCTCAATGTTTTTCATTAAACTGGCAAGAGGGAATGTACATTGCTTGCGAGACAGCTAATTTTAAGCTAGCCAATTAGCTCCAACCCCCATTTATTTACTGTCATTTGCTGGCTAGCATGCTAGTTAGCTGATCGGCTAACACTCACGGAGGGGGTGTGTGGCGATCCAAAATGGTGGCTTGTATTTTGCAATGTTCGATTTGGTTGTTAGGCCTTGCATATTTGCCTCACGTAATCTAGATGTTCCTGTTGTCTCTATTGGCCGTTGAACGATATAAAAAACGCACTCTGTGTCATACCCTTTCGCTAGAATTAATTCTATTTCGCTGCGGGTATTGTGAATCCAGCTAATGTCGGCTAATAACTGCCTGCAGATTAATATGAGGCTAGTGTTTGCTAGGTAGCTAAGTGGCTAACACTAACGCAGATACGTCGATCGTGATTTGCTAAATTGACTGCGTGGTATAACAAGTTTAGCCTTGCCAGTAGGGCATATGACAATCTGTATGACTTACTTTAAATTATGTGGTGGTTTTGGAGTTTGTTAAATTATATGTTGACGTTTGATAGTGTATTATGTGAAGCGGGTGGCAGTGCTGGCAAGTAACGGTAGTCGCCGCTGCGGTAAGCCAGGCCCGCGCGGGGATTTGCTGCTTCATTGTATGGACGACCAAACGGCATGGAGCTCGCCATTTTTAATGATCTGTGTTTTTGTTATACAGCTTTGTAGCAAGGGCCACCTATGTTAGCGTTTGGTAGGCACTTTAGACACACAAAACACCCGCACCATCACATTTTACAAAGTTTTCTTTTTATTAATGTCAACTTTGGACTGAGTAGAGGCTTGAGGGAGACTTCAGCATCACTGCGTCATTTGGTCCTAGTGATTTTATGATCTGTTTGTAAACCACATTGTTTCTTGTTATTAGGTTGCTCTGTAAATATCTTATCTTATTTAATTACATAATTTATCAAGTACACACTGTCCTATGTGCTTTTTACATTTTGAATTAGTAATTTTGATACGTTTCTTACTAGTAGCAGGTGCACTCACCCCTTAGTTGCTGGTTCACCCCTGTTGGATTAATTCCAAGTGCACTGCAGCCTTACAAGGACAGTGAAAACAAGTTGACAAAATAAACTCCTCACTTTTTTTCCGCCTGCCTATAGATAAACATACCACTATTTCATGGGTTGATTGTTTATACAGTTGCAGTGGGGTTAATCCATCATATTCTCTGCATATCTCAGTCATTTTATCTGTTTTGCCAATGCAAACTTACTCAAATGCCAGGCTGTTGCTGCCACAAAAACAATCTCTGATGATATGTTATTTAAAAAAAGTGTTGTGGCTCTTCAATCCTGTGTTAAATTATTGGAAAACAAAAATAACAATTTATCTAATAGCACATGATTAAGATTCTAATAAATAACCTTAAAAGTCCAAGTTTAATTTAGCGATATAATGGTACTTCATGATATTGTTTTAGGGGTGTTATGTAATGCATTAGTGTGGTCCGATGCATCATGTGCCAAGAAAGAGTCTTAGGATCTGCTGTGCTGTTATAACCTTGTTGTTGTAGGTTAAACACACATCTGGGGATAGTTTTTTATTTCCCCAGCATACAGTTTGTCTTGGTGACGACTTTTATTTGCTGTTTTTAGTCCAGAGGCTTTGGAAAGGAGGAAGAATTATAATATTTAGTTGGCCCTCCCCACGTGAAATTAAAATATGTATTTTTGCGTTTTTTATTAGCCTTTACTGTTGTTGTGCTACCGCAGCATACAATGTTCAATTACTGTTATGCTTCTTGGAAATATACATTTATAAATAATAAATCACTGGGTTGAGAGGCTTCTGATTTCCCCCTTGCATGTTGGTTTGAATGACTGTAGGCCTTAGGGGTGTTTTCATCCAATATGAAATTATTGGTCTAGCTTGTGCAAATTTTAGCGACTGATCCATTAGGATGTACTGCTCTGAAGGCGGGACAAGAAATTGTCATAGAGTTGACTGACAAGCCACATTAGTGGGGTGTAATCCACTTGTGGAAATGAGGTCAGTTTCCCTGGAGGACTTGGTCAGTAACGTTACCCGAAGACGCACACGACTGACACCATTGCGTCTCTCAGCTGGGAGGAAGACGAGGATCACATTAAATCCGGTGTAAGAGACGGACTGACACATCAACACATTCGGAGACATATGCCCGAGTGCTCATATCGATGCTGACTCCTGTTGCATCACTGCCATCATAACAGGATACAGGCAGATTTCACTCCCTCCTTACTCTAATCTCTCCCTTTGATCAGTGTGTTTTGATGGAAGAGGCTCCTTATTCAGCTGGGATAACTGTTGTCTTCTGTGTGCGCGTGTGTTTTTGTTTGAGCGATGACTTGCAGCCTGTTCCTGCATTGTGTCCATAATTACCCAGCCTACTGTAATGTCGCACGGTCTTTGTCACACACGTTCTCTCTCTCTGATTCACAGACTGGGAAAGAAGACTTGTCATGTTTGCTCAGTGGAGTTTTCCCAGTGAAATGTATAAAAGAGGAAAGAAGGATCACTTTCAGTGGGGATAAAGATAGGGATAGTTGTAATTCAAAAGCCATTCAAAGTTGGTACAAGCGGTTTTTATCCCTTTTAGATTGCAGCGCAAATGATCAGATTGCCCATCTTAAAAGGGTGCACAGACACCTTGCCAAATCCCCCCTAAATGGTTCCCATAATTTCCACAACCTGATGACACTTCATTAGCTAAAATATTTAAACATTATAAAAAGTATGTTTACTCTGATTTTTTTTCACCACTTTTTCTAGAATGAAAATGGTCAGATAGAGCGGGTGTTCTGTTTTAATCAACGCATATACTGTGGTTTGAAATGGCTATCGCTGTTTCTTCATTTCAATGTGTAACTTGAATGAATACGAATCTGACAGAAAGCCACATCTGACTTCTTTAGGTCTTGTTGCCTAATTGTAAGAATCTGTCAGATGATCTTACAATTTTGACCCCTCGTTTCTGAACTGCTGAAGTTACATAGTTAGGTTCCATCTTATCTAGGCTACTACCATACAGTCTTATCATACTGTCCCTCTCTTTTACAGCTGGAGACACGGACGACCCTCCAAGAATCCCGGCCAACCCGGTGATCAATGGTAACGTTGCCATGGCAGATGGACACACAGAGGAAGACATGGAAGATGGTGAGGATGATTTGCATTTACACTAACAAACACAAAAACAAACACTTTTTAATGGGCGGCTGTGTATCAAATGAGTCCTTGTATGGAATCCTCTGCCTCTGTGAATGAGTGAATGCTGTTTTGTATATGTTAACGCCCTTTGAGGATTTGCATAGACTGAAAAAGTGCTATATGCATATGCAGTCCGTTTACCATTTTGCTTGTTTTAAAGCCAGTGCGGTGAGTTTAATCGTTTTAGGTAATGATCCAGGTTAAATACTATCCTTTGACTTACCCATATTCTCACATTACGTTGCGTCCTTAACCAGTTACATCTAGTCATGTCGCTGGAGGAAACCCGTTCACCACCTAACCTACGCCGCCCCTTTCCCCCCCCGTCTCCCTCCATCTTCCCACAGACACCAGTTGGCGGTCAGAGGCGACTTTCCGCTTCGTGGTGGAGCGCTTCAGCCGCCTGAGTGAGTCTGTGCTCAGCCCGTCCTGCTTCGTCCGGAACCTGCCGTGGAAGATCATGGTGATGCCGCGCTTCTACCCCGACCGGCCACACCAGAAGAGCGTGGGCTTCTTCCTGCAGTGCAACGCAGAGTCAGATTCCACGTAAGAGTCTTGGCCGGACCAGGGATTGTGGGGAACGTGGCAAAGGCCCGCATGCACACACCTAAAACCTCTTCAGGTTCTTACATAGACACTAAATGGCACTTGTGTGAATGCCACAGACATCCTTAAAATGTTCCTGCGTTCTGTTTTTGCAGGTCATGGTCGTGCCACGCTCAGGCCATGCTGAAAATCATCAACTACAAAGACGACGAGAAGTCTTTCAGCCGCAGGATCAGTCACCTGTTCTTCCACAAAGAGAATGACTGGGGCTTCTCCAACTTCATGTCCTGGAGTGTAAGTAGAAGAAAGATTAATGCATCAAACACTAACATGAATAAACCCATATGTTTTTCACAACCTCAATCAGAACTTATAGAAGTATTCATCTTAGCTGTGTATTCAACTTTTCTTTTTTTTTTTGGATTGAGTGTATAGAAGAAACTTTGCCATTTGTTTATTTGGACTTCTTAATTATAAATAAAGCTAAACATGCAAGTCAGTGCTTCTACTTCTACCCACTCCTATTGATCTTAACTGTTTTGTTGGTGTTGTTTCAGGATGTGACTGATCCAGAGAGGGGCTTCGTTGATGAGGACAAAGTCACATTTGAAGTCTATGTCCAGGCAGATGCCCCACACGGAGTGGCGTACGTAGCACTCAATTCTCGCTGTGTTGACTGTCCTACAATACTCCCAGAAACCTATGTGTAGGATTATAGTAATAACATCCATTTCTCTCTGTTACAGATGGGACTCAAAGAAACACACAGGCTATGTTGGACTGAAGAACCAGGGAGCGACCTGCTACATGAACAGCCTGCTACAGACGCTCTTCTTCACCAACCAACTACGACGGGTATGGGTTTATTATTTTCATCTGTGTGTCTCTTTTATATGAGCTACACATTGTATTTCATATGTTGGTTTGGTTAGCAGATAAAGATTTTTCTTGTGTAAATATGCCAACCAATGCCTTCGCTCAGTGTTTGTCTACCTTTATCCACATTGTGACACATATTGATGGCAGTTACCTAAATATTGTTATGTTTATTTAAATTCACAGCTTGCATATGTATTGTATGCTTCTTTTATGTGTTGCTGCCTTTCCTGTTACTATGAGTAATTGGTTATTAATGCTCCTCTACAACATTTGATGTACCACTGTTTAGGTTCGCACGATTTGGGGAAATAATCTAAGTGCGACCTTTCTGACAGATGATTCGATTTGCGATATTTGCTTTTAAGCGACCCAACGGAAGTTTATATAAAATGCGGCCATATCTCCGGCTATGAAGGTCGTATCAACGTGCTCCCGTCTCTAGCAGCCCGAGCTACGAGTGAAGTAACTAAACTTACATGAAACTTCCATTGGGTTGCTTTAAAGTCAAGCTTCAGTTTAAGATTCACCCTGTAATAGAAACATGTGATGGAGCATTACTAACCTGACTCAGATGGTTTGTTTCACCAAACCATCTAGGAAAGCTCCATTGGAAGCCATTTGGAAAAGTGTTTCAAAAATACTTGGCAGGTGATTGGATCAATCTGCCTATCACCTACTATCATGGGCCACTTCTGATTGGTTAACAATGACTGGTACATGTGGAGCACAGCACTTCTGATTGGTGTGGATGACTGACACACAAGAAAAAAAAAAAAATGTTTCCAAATATTTTATGAATAAAGTGATAACTAAACAAAATCAGGTTGTTTATCAGAAAGTGCTTTGTTAATAGTTCTATTGCTCGAAGTGGAGTCAAAAGAGATGAGTTTTCAGTCTGCGCCGGAAGATGTGTAAGCTTTTTGCTGTGATTTCAATAGGGAGCTCATTCCACCATTTTGGAGCCAGGATAGCAAACCCACGTGTTTTTGCTGATGGGAACTTGGGTCCCCCTCGCAGTGCGGGTGCATCGAGCTGTTTGGCTGATGCGGAGTGCACGTGCTGGGGTGTACAGTTTAACCATGTCACTATCGGCTTCAGGCAGGATTTTATAGGCCAGGATTTTTTTTAACCTCCATTTTAGAGTATTGATGTATGAAATGGTCCTGACTCTCTCCCCCAGGCGGTGTACATGATGCCCACAGAGGGAGATGACTCGTCCAAGAGCGTTCCCCTGGCTCTGCAGAGGGTTTTCTACGAGCTGCAACACAGCGACAAACCCGTCGGCACCAAGAAACTGACCAAGTCCTTCGGGTAGTGTAACCTTTCTTTACAGAAGTCTGGCTGTCCTTGACATTTTGTATTTCCGTAGGCCAAACCGGATGTTGGCATCACAAAGACTCCCTCACCCAAAGCCAATGGGATTTTTTCATTTAATGTTGAAATATTGCAGACGACAAGATCTGTGGAAAACACATGTCTATGATACTTAAAGGCAGGATAATCTCCAGATGAAAACAACACAATGTTTGAAGTGTAAATGCAATCGCCTGGAAGTAAAAGGCAAATATTAGGCTATAAACAAACAACGTCATGCTTGCAGACTTCACTTCTCCACCGCTAAGCTAAAGGTGGCTAATGTTGCACGTGATGGAGTTTTGTAGTCTCATTTCATTGATTGTTAGCAACTGTCATTGACTGTGAGATGAGGGAACCCGGAAGTGCTAACATACACTATCTAAGGACTCATTCCGGCACTACAGAGGCTTGAGTGCCTAATCCTACGTATTTTATCTAACGGACATTTTCTTTTTCCTCTCTGAAGATGGGAGACACTAGATAGCTTCATGCAGCATGATGTTCAGGAGCTGTGCAGAGTGGTGAGTTCTTACATACTCTCTTGAAGAATGTGGTTCGGTACATGTCGGCATGCTGATTTATTACTGACTCACTGTGTGTGTGTTTCAGCTCCTGGACAATGTGGAGAACAAAATGAAAGGCACTTGTGTTGAGGGAACAATCCCTAAGCTCTTCAGAGGAAAGATGGTGGTATGTACTCTGCCTTTTTCTCTTATTATCAAAAAAATACCATTTTAAAAAGACAAATGTATTTTTAGTGAGCATTATGTGGTTGTTGAATTAAGAGAACACAGTAATGCACGACGATGCCATTGTAGGTCAAAGTCAGACTCAAACCTCTCAATTCAATACTTTAAACTTTAACATTCTTACCATTCTCTACTTTAAGTGGTTCTAAGATGCCGTAGTAGAAATGTAGCTCAACATGTATGATTATTTTTGAAGAAAAGTAGTTTAGCTTTGCATAGGATGTGTCCTGTAACAAGGCCAGTTTACGAGTAGAATTAGGTAAAGGGTTTTGCTTTGTATCATACAATCTGACACGGCGTGTGTTCCCCTCTAGTCATATATCCAGTGTAAGCATGTGGACTACCGGTCAGAGCGGATAGAGGACTACTATGACATCCAGCTTAGCATTAAAGGAAAGAAGAACAGTAAGTATCAACACAACTTCATGGCTTTTCTGAAACATTGGGAAAGACGTGCTGCACCGGATCCACATGACTTGTGGTTTTCTAATATGTTTATTTTCTTGATCTCATCTTTGCGTTGTTCTTATTTCCAGTCTTCGAGTCATTCAAAGATTATGTTGCAACTGAGCAGTTAGATGGAGACAACAAATACGACGCGGGAGAGCATGGCCTGCAGGTGAGTCTTCACTTTGACGGGATCAGAACAATTTATGTAGGGATGGGTATCGTTAAGGTTATCGATCTGGTCTTTTAACGGTTCTTTTGGAGAAAAAAAATAAGCTAAACAAATTGTGAACAAAACTAACATTGCCTTTTTATTTAAATTAAATACATATTTCACATCAAAAGAAACAAGTGTTTTAACATCATATTAAATAATGTGATGACAGAACTGTAAACAGAATAGCTGAAACTTTAACAAAATAAATAACTCGGTTACCTCTAATCATTAACCCATGTTTGTAGAATTGAGTTAACTCCGTGTGTTGCTGCTAGCATACAACGTACCTGTGGATGGCGCTACAGAGCTACTAGAAAGACAGTCGAAAACGGTGCATTTCCCCACTAAATCTGACAACTTGCTCGTGTTACCGCCCTTACGTGCTAAACTCTTATGGACTACCGCACTTTTGGTAACGAGTGTTGTCCACATCGAGACGGGTAAAGTTAAACACACCTCGGAGCGCTTTCTCTCCGCTTCCTCCTCCGTGTGTGTGTTGTTGCATGTAGCAGCTGCGTGTGTGTAAACTGCCCCGCCCCCTCGCACACAGACGGGGGAGAGAGATCTCTTGACTGGATTGGAAAGATCGAAAATACAAAAAATAATCATAGACGCATTCTGCAGTCTTTTTGCGTATTAGAAACAGTTGGCGACACTAAAATGGCAATATAATGTTTGTGTAGCATAAGATATGACATTTTTTACATGTCTCCAGTACCGATAACGTCGAAGCTTAACGGTACCACAGTCTTTAATAATTCAGCCCCGTTTAATACCGGGGCTCGGTACCCACCCCTACATTTATGTGTCAAGTTCATGATTTATTCTTACCATATCGGAATTCAAGCTAATTTAAAACCCAAATCTTTGTCAAAGTTCTCTATTTGATAAAGCAGGATCCTGATGATTTTTATAAGGCCAATATAAATGTAACATCTTGGTTCAAATAAGTGACTTCAAACGTAAAGGGTTAGAGAATGTCAATGTAACGTACTGACCTGTTTTTTTCTTTTTGGTACTCCAGGAAGCAGAGAAGGGAGTGAAGTTCCTCACCTTCCCTCCGATCCTCCATCTGCAGCTGATGAGGTTCATGTATGACCCACAGACAGACCAAAACATCAAGATTAACGACAGGTAGGAGAAACACAACGCCGTTATTCCACTTTCCCGTATGCTTTTTTATATATTACCTTACAGACGCATACACTGCCTCCATCAGGTCTCTCCCTGTCGCATAATGCGTCGGCGGCGGATCGTTAGACATAAGTTTAGAGACACTTTAGAATAACACGGGTTAAAGGGGCCGTCTATTTCCAGAAATGGCACTTGAGCCCCCACTCTCTTAACAACATTCTCAGACCTCCTGCCCTAAAACAAGTGAGAATGAGTCATTGAGAGGTTTTCCTGCACTCCGTATCATTTTGTGTAAAGCTTTGTGGGAGCTAATGGTGTTTTAATAATCCGCCGCGACGATGTGAGACTTTCCACACATACGCACGCACATGCGCAGCCATCCAGAATAGCTCATTTTCCTCTCAAGCGTCTCGACGAGCTCTGAGTCATCCTTGTGAAGCTGCCACCAGCACCTGGGCCCCGAGAGCTTTGTATATGTACAGACACACACACACACATTCATTAATTTCTTTCCTATATTCTCCTGCCTATCCCTTCCTTTCTTCTTCAACATCTCCCTCCCTGCCTGTTTCATCCTCTCACATTTCCCCTCTCCTCTTTGCTTCTCCTTTCTCATCTGAACTCTTAGATTTGAGTTTCCTGAGCAGTTACCGCTGGATGAGTTCCTCCAGAAGACCGACTCAAAGGACCCGGCCAACTACATCCTGCACGCCGTGCTGGTGCACAGCGGCGACAACCACGGCGGTCACTACGTCGTCTACCTTAACCCGAAAGGAGACGGCAAAGTCAGTGTAAAGGAACCAATAGTAAGTACATGGGTTGGTTTTTTTATACACCAAAAATGATGTAGGCAGGGTGTGGGTTCCTGCACTTAAAATACCATTGTTATCACAACTACAAGCTTTACTCTGGGGCTGACTTTTCACCACAAATAATTAGCCTAAATATTTATTTGTTGTACTTCCGAGTTAGTATGTAGACCTTTTCTGAAGGTAAAAGTTAAAATATGGATATGAAAAAAAACACAAACCTTAAATAGAAATTCAACATTTGACCAAACCTATTTTGTCTCTCAGTGGTGTAAGTTTGATGACGACGTGGTGTCGCGGTGCACCAAGGAAGAGGCCATAGAGCACAACTACGGTGGACACGATGACGACCTCTCAGTGCGCCACTGCACCAACGCTTACATGTTGGTGTACATCCGCGAGTCCAAGCTCAGTAAGTCACATACTCCTTCTGCATGTCATGCTAATGTATAACAACAACAGCTGCTGTGAAATGACTCGCTCGTAATCATTCTCGTCATCTGCAAACACTAGGGCTGCCCAATTTACCACAATCGTATCTTTATATAAACTTTTGCAAACGGCACATGTGTCAAAATACATTCTGAGTTATACGGGCCCTATTAGGCAAAAGTTCAGGATTCCTAATTTTATTTTGTTTCTCTACGTTTCCATGCTTTAATGTTCAAAAAGCTCTTTATTTCTCTCATACTGCCTGTGCTGCAGAACCTGTTTTCACCCTCTGTCTGAAACCAGAGCCCAGTCTGCTCTGATTGGTTAGCTGGCCGGCTCTGTTGAGATCAATGGTGCTGCCCTAGCCCACACTACGTATATTTAACGGAAGATATCATTCCTGTTTCCGCTTTGTCCTTTGATAACTGAGTTCTTCACAGTAGCAGCCTTAGGTTTCTCTCTCAATGACTAGCTAACACACACATGTTACAGTACTGCAGTCTGTCTGCTCTGATTCTTACCTGCCTCTCTCCTCTTATCCCAGGCGAAGTTCTCCTCCCGATGACAGACGTGGACATCCCCCAGCAGCTGGTGGAGCGTCTGCAGGAGGAGAAGAGGGTGGAGGCGCAGAAGAGGAAGGAGCGCCAAGAGGCTCACCTCTACATGCAGGTCCAGGTAGGAAACCAGAGCCGCTTCTATATCATTTTGCAGACTTGTCGTGCAGGCAGCTAAGTGTAAGGGTTTGGAGAGAATCCCTTTGCGTTTGGCTTTTTAAGAGTTTCAGACTGAACGGAGCTTGGAAGCTTTCCTCACATCGTTGCTACTGCAGTGCTGTAAATCTGCCGGTGCCAGACCAGCAGATTGGGCCCTTGCAGGCGCTGCTCTAACACAGGGGTTCCCCAAAGTAGGGGACCCCCCGGGGGGTTCGCGAGATGATTACAAAATAAAAATGGAAAATTAAAAAAATAATTAAAATAATTAATCTTTTTTTAAATTATTATTACCGTAATAATAACGTTTGCATAGACATTTTTCAGGGGCGGACTAGCCATCTGTATAATTTCCCGGCAACGAGGCTCCCCCTTTGACAATCCACTAGCGCAGTGTTTCTCAGACTTTTTCATACCAAGGACCACTTCACCAATAGAAAATGCTCACGGACCACCTAACTCCACAAATATCCCAAAAACAATAGGCCTGCTTACCCATTCCAACAGTATATAACACATTACAGCCTAATAATGACAGCTTAACCTTCTCTATATCGCCTCGTTCACACATTAAATCAACAATACAAATACAACTACAGATTGTATAAGCATTTAGTTCAAATGCGATTTAAAATCCTCTCAGGTTTTACACCTCTTATTATGAAATGTAGAATACATTTATTACGAGTTTATGTCCGAGCCAACAGACTCACAGATTGTTGGCTACTGAGAGATATGCAAAATACACTGCATGTAGTTCGACACAAACCTCCGCTGTGGATTTTCAAAACAAAATACAATAAAACTATGGTCGCAGGCCCAAGTTTAACTCTCTGAGGCCTGCTCGGTCTGCCTACAAAACAAAAATAAAAAAAACTTGAAATGAAATTAATTCACTAGTCTTTCTGTCGCTATCTTGTTGCTATGTAATATACATGTTTTTATTAGCATATCCTCTATTGTGAGCCTCTATATTACATGTTTTTAATTATATAATACTTTTTTTAACAGTATTTTTAGGGTGGCTTTGCGTATTGACAGCTTCCCTGTTAGATAAACATATTTATTTTTTTAAACATTTATGGGACCTAATGCGTCCCGACCAAGATCTTTATGTATTGTCAGATATTTTTCTGAAAAGATTCCTCAAGGCTGAATCTGAGTGCGCTGCTTTAACTGTCAGACTTGGTGTGATTGTGCATTAGGACTCCATCACTACACCTTCACTATCTGTAAAGAAACAACAAGAATGACCGTTTTTCATATATTTTACGATGCATTTAAATTCTCCTAAAAACGGCCCCTTTCTGTACTGCAGAGTGGACGGTTGTTTTCTACGACTTAGAGAAGCAAGATGTGGAAGTCACAGTGTAGTCTAGATATTAAAAAGCAGTGATTGAAGGAAACTGCTTGTTAAAGATAAGAGAGCTTCATCCTGTTCAAAGATGTCAGCTGCTGTGCCTTTCATTATTTGTCCCAAGTATTATGTCAGGACAAAAATATATTTGTTTTCTTTATCAGTTTCTGCTGGAGAGGCAATAGGAAGAGACTCAGTTCCTCATTTTTTGTAACAGATCTCAGCTAATTTTCAACATGAGAACATCCTTGCATTTTTAAATGTGTTGAAAAACTTGTCACAGGATAAATTAGCTGCCTATTCCATACATTTTCCCAACGAGATTTTGGTTCTGTCTGTCAATCACTAATGTTGTTTTTTCTTCCTGTGCACAGATAGTAACAGAGGACCAGTTCTGCGGTCACCAGGGCAACGACATGTACGACGAGGAGAAGGTGAAGTACACGGTCTTCAAAGTCCTGAAGAGCTCCACACTGCAGGAGTTTGTCCAGACCCTCTCCCAGACCATGGTGAGAGACTCAAAGATATGCTGGTGTTGTGCTTCTGTCTTTGTCCTCTTGATGTTGCCACTTTCCACCTTTTTTTTTTTTTATACGTGCAAGTTATATTAAACTCAACGACACGTTTGCCTCAGGGTTTCCCACAGGACCAGATGAGGCTGTGGCCCATGCAGGCGCGTAGCAACGGGACCAAGCGACCCGCCATGCTCGACTACGAGGCCGACTGCAGCAAGTCGGTAAGTGTTGGGAAGACCGGTTTGTGGGTGTAACCTGTACAGGTATTTGTTATACTCGTCGGACATCTTGGAATTGTTTTCTCCTGCTGTTCAATCTACCACTGAAGCTTACGACTATCATTTATTTGCATCCAGTACAAAGATAGTTTGCAGTAGATGTGCAGATTTTATTGGGTCAATGTTATCATTATTTATTATGAACTATTAAACGAGTTAAATATTCTCCAAAACGGCACCATGTTCCAGGATGTTTCTGATGTCGCTGTGTATACGTCATTAAATCATCCTTGGTCGATTAAACTGGCAACATTAAAATGCATTTCTAACTGACATCCAGCCGCCGTTTACCGGTGACCTTTGATTGGTGCGTCTTTAGTTTCACAGTGTTTAGCTTAACTCAATGGAAGCAGGATCTATGTAAATGCGAGGGGGCGACATCTCAATCATGCCACTCCAAAGAACCAGGCTTATGAAACTTCAGTGTATTGTGAAATGAGCATTTGTGCATTACAAGACCTGTACGAAAACCTCCGATACTGTGTTCCACTCGTTAATGTTTATTTCCAATGTTTCGTTTCAGATGATCGACTTGAGCGACAACGAGAATCCCTGGACAATATTCCTGGAGACGGTGGATCCAGAGATGGCAGCCAGTGGGGCCACATTACCCAAGTTCGACAAAGACCGTGAGTCCCACACGTCCCTGACACGTTGACGCTCAGTCGAATTGAGTTTGAACTGTTTCTAACCGACTTGAGTAGACGTCAAAAGTTCTGAATTAGTTTTTGCGTGTATAGTTTTCAATTTGGAAAACTCATTAAAGCAACTCTTTGACATGTTTCCCACCTTTTGTTGTAACAATGTCCTTGCCTCTTTTCCTTTTAGATGATGTCATGTTGTTCTTGAAGATGTACGACCCCAAAACCAGAAGCTTAAATTATTGTGGACATATCTACACACCTATATCCTGCAAAATAAGTAAGTGGTCGAAGTCTATTTTAAGCTTAACTCACCTTGTAATTTAGGTAAAAATGGCTTCAACTTATTTATTCAATTATATTTTTGTGTCTCTTTTCTTCCAGGAGACCTTCTACCAGTCATGTGTGAGAGAGCCGGGTTTCAGCAGGAAACTAGCCTTATCCTCTATGAGGTGATATATTTATTTAGTGGCACATTCCTCCATCTTTCTCTCACTTGTTCGTTCTTGTATTGTAACACAAACTGTCTCACACACTCTGCTGTTCACACTGTCAAATACAGCATCTCTTTTTCCCACTAAACTGTTTTTTGTTTGCGTTTACACATCCAAACCCAAACACCCCTTAGACCGTAGATGTTGACTAAGTTTCCCATGATGCCTTGTGTCTCGCAGGAAGTAAAGCCCAACCTAACAGAGCGGATACAGGACTACGATGTCTCTCTGGACAAGGCCCTGGATGAGCTCATGGACGGGGACATCATCGTCTTCCAGAAGTAAGACTTTATTTTATGTGTGTGTTTTACATTTGTGGTGTAAAGTGTGAGCTAATTCGATCACAATATATTTTGACGACTTCACAACTGAGTTATTTTGCTATTTTTTAAAAACGTTACAACAGCGTAACCTTGTAGAATCAAACGTATGGAGTTGTTAACCGCTAGAAGTGCTAACTGACAGCTGCTGGAGTCAGAATGCATGAGGAAGGGGATGCAGTCATCATGCTTTCTGAGACAAGTAACAATGACTGTAAAAAGAGCTTGCGTTTCATCCCTTTACCCTGAACCTCTATGATTTAATTATAGTACTGTTTGTTATACTACCAGTGAGACAGAGGAACTATTTCTCTCTGGTATTTGTAATAAAATGCATAGAAAAAACGGAGACGTAGCAGAATCAGAAATCCTTTATTTGTCCCACAGCGGGGACATTTCCAGTGTTCAGCAAAGGGACAGTGCAGATACAAAGGCAGACATAAAGTAAGTAGACTAACATATTAAATAACGAGGCAATCACATGATGATTTTTTTTTTTTTAAAGTGCACATCCAAGGTTTAAAAAAAAAAAAGAAAAATATTTTTAAAGAGAAAAGTGTTTATATTGCTCACGTGTGTAAATGGAGGAAGTACTTGTTTAGAAATGTTGTCAGGACTGTTGACTCGTCTGCTTGTCTTTGTCCTGCTATTGTTTTATACCTTTTTTTAATTTTCTCTCAGCCCGTCACATTTTTTGACTTTTGTCCAACCCTCTCCTGTAAACCTGGCATGTTCTACATCTCCAATCAATTCTCCTACTTTCGTCTTGCAGGGACGACCCAGAGAGCGACAGCAGCGAGCTGCCGACGGCCAAGGACTACTTCCGGGATCTCTACCACCGAGTGGACGTCATCTTCTGTGACAAGACCATCCACAACGACCCGGGCTTCGTCGTCACGCTGTCCAACCGCATGAACTACTTTCAGGTAAGAGCTTTATGAGTTAATGTTTGACGTGAAGGGGTCAAAAGGTAGTGATTTCACTGTTTGTATCAGCTTAACGTGCTTAATGTTGATTTAACAAACACGTGTCATAAGAGTTGATACTTTTTTTTGTTGTGTAAAGAATTGTATCCATCTTCGTTACTCGTTCACTGAAGTAATGGAGTATTACCCAATATTTATCTGACAAGTCAAAAGCCTTGTTATTTATTTTAGTAATTTGCTGCCGTATAAATATGTACTAGGGATGCCAGAAACTGACCATGATCAAATTCTAAAATCGGAGAGCCCTGGCGAATATTAATCGATTATTCGCCTGCGCTGCTGGCCTCCTCCAAGTTTACAGTAAAACAAACTGGTGGTGTGACCAATGGCCATTTACAATTATTAATACTATTACTATTATTAGCATTAGTCTATATTTTGGTTGAAACTAAGCCAGGAAAAAAAAGAAAAACATAAATAATAATAAAAAAATATATAAATAAAATCGAAATGTTAAAAATAATTTTCGATTATGGAGACTGTAACGAATATTCGAAAAATCGCTGGCATCCCTAATATGTACAAAGGCTATAGAGAGGCGAAGTCCCGCCCATCTACTTCCGCCCCACGGGACCTTATTTCGGAAAAATGATGTATAGAAGTCAATGGGGAGAGAAAGATTATCTTTCCATCCCGTTTGAATTGTGCCACGAATTACACTTATGATGTTTGTCAATCTTAAAAAATAATTTCCATGTCAAAAAAGTCACAGTTTGTCGTAAAACTGTTGAAATATAAGAATATGAAAAATACGCAACTAGAAAAACTAAAAATCCCGGTCCCGCATGCTGGCTCTTACGGAATCGACTAACTCCCCTTGTGTGTATGTACAGCTCTCAACATGCCCAGACTTGGAGTGATTTTCACCTCTTTTAATACTTTCCGCCTCATTCTGAAAGAAAGAAGTGAAATGTGCCAACGTGACGGCCGTCTTGGTGTGTGGTGCGAGACGGGAGATGTAGTTCATTGAGCGGTTTCACACACAAGAAAGTGTTACTTCACAGTTTTACGACACATTTTTATTTTTTATTTCTTTCAAAATAATCTTTTAAATTGACAAACATCTTATGTGTAATTCGTGGCACAATTCAAAAGATAATCTTTCTCTCTCCATTGACTTCAATACATACTTTTTCCGAAATAAGGTCCCACGGAGGTCCCCCGGAAAGGGAGGGACTTCGCCTCTCTATAGATTTGGTGCCCTGAATGCTTTAAACATGCCACGTCTCACCTTATCTTTAATGTGTTTTTTCTCCCTGTAGTCTGTTGGCATTTCAGTTGTAAGTGAGTTCTGACAGGCTGAGCTGATTTCCACTTGTAATGTTTTTTTTGTTGTTTGTTTTTTGTCAGGTGGCCAAGACAGTAGCACAGAGGCTGAACACAGATCACATGCTGCTGCAGTTCTTCAAGTCACAGGGGTAGGAGGCTTGTCTCATCCATGTTTTGCAGATTATACTTACTGACTTTTACCTAAGTAACACCATTAATGCAGGACTTTAACTTGTGTATATATATATATATTTTTAGCTTGGTTTAAATATTTTACTCAAGTTAAGGGTCTGAATGCTTTTTCCAACATGGCAGATAAGTCTTCCTTATTCTCTATTTCCTGATTACTTATACTTTTTTTTTAAGTCTTCACTTAAAAATATTCAGGGATTAGAGTTACATGATATATATTCCTTATTTACACCTGGCACCACTAACTCTCAAATGTTCTAAATAGATTTTATAAGTGGCAGCAAACATACATAATTTAAAACCCTGATCACTATTGTTGACCTTTTTAAACACAATACTGCACATTCATTCCTACCATTTGTTGATTTGGGGGGAATGAAAATACAGCATGCGTTTATGGAGTTTTTAGTACACTACTTCCCCATTGACCAATAATGCTTATGGTGTAAAATGTGGGCTGATTGTCACTATTTCCAAAGCATTAACTTACTTTTAAATGGGGCTCTACGGTTAATAGGAATGTGCTGTTTAACATGTGTCATGCTACATGGGCAGAAATATCCCAATAAATATCATATATTAGACATTCCTGAAATACTAATATTGGTGCATTATGCAACATAACTCCATACCACAACACTTATTGTGTGACGTTTTGAAATAACTACAGAGGGCTCTTGTGTACTGTTGTCCTTCTCACAGCTTGTGTGATGTTTGCCTTTGATTTGACTACTTGCAGCTGTCAGTAGAAATGTTGCGTAACCTGTCCCCCCCCACCTTTCTTTGTTGTTTTCCTCTAACTCCTCCCACTCTGCCTCCCTCCCGCCTCTCTTCTGCCTCTCTGCATCTTCTCTGAATTTTTTCGTCTTCCCCTCCCGTTCACCCACCTCTCCTTGCCTCCTTTCTCTGCTCCTTCATCTCTTCTTTGTTCCTCCCCCTCTCTCTCTCTCTGCTGTCTTCCCTCTCTCCCCCCTGGGTTGTCTTCCCCCCTGCCTGGTGGTGTGGTGGCCAGGTACAGGGACGGTCCAGGAAATCCTCTCAGACACAACTATGAGGGAACGCTGCGGGACCTGCTGCAGTTCTTCAAACCACGGCAGCCCAAGAAACTCTACTATCAGCAGGTAGGAGTCTGCCAGCTCTCAGGTTTTGGGTTTTAGCATTATTGGTTTGCTTTCCCGTATGTTCTTGGAAGTATCTGTTGGCCCAAGATGGCTGCTGTTGTGCCAAAAGGCAGCTTAAAGTGGACCTATCATGCTATATCTTAATAATATAGTGTAGGACCATATCTATATAAGGCATATTTATACTTTTTATTTTTCAAAATACCAAACAGATCATGCATTTTAGCCATTCCTCATTTCGCTCAATTTAACACTGTCTTTTCATCATGGGCTGATTCTGTGAGAACAGCACCATCTACAGGCCTGGCATATGTACTACAGCGTCTCCAGCGCTTTCCAACGGCAATGTCCGTGGCTGTCTCCTCCTGATTGGTGGAGTTGGCCCAATAGCCGTAGCGCCACTTCTGTGACGTCATAGAAGTGTTCAAATCTGGATCAGTCTGTATCAGATCCGTTGCAGCCCCTTTTTAAGAGATTTGGGTATGGAGGAAAATAGAGAGGGGTGTGTTTTCTGACACTCGGTGAGTTCCCCTTGGATAGGTCACCTTTAAATGTTTTAAGCAATTTCTTTACTCAGTCTTTTCACTTTTTAAATCTGTTATTTTTCACACTGTCATGTTGCTCATCGTCTTTCATTCAGACCTTGTTCAGACCTTGAGTAGTTTATGTAACATGTTTGACCTTTTGTATTGTTGGTCTAGTGATGGTCATTTTTTACAGAGAAAAATAATTGTCTAATTTATAGGAACAATTTGGTTGATATTCATAAATATTTCCCCTCGTGCAT